AATGCACAGACTGTTGCTGCTAAAATTTTCAGCCCTCTTCCCTGCCTCGATGCTACTAAAGCTGTTCTAATTTTGCCCTTTTGTTCTGTCCGAAGTCAGTCAGACAGCTTCAGGGATTGATCACTTCCTTAATTGCAGTAATTTTACCTTAAATACAGGCAGCTGAGAGTTCATCATCAAGTTGCAAATTTCGCTGTTGAGTAAGAGACCTCCCCCAAGCAAAATAATTATGGATAATAACAAGTGTATCATAATAAATGCAACACACAACAAATGTGCTCTAAGGACATGAAGTAGAGTCACAAGGGCTATTAAGGAAGCCCCATGCTTTTCTCTCTGCTTTTTGGTTAAAAAAAGAAGACAGAAAACAATGTAATATTCTTAATTGTCTCTTGTAAACTGGAATCTAACTCATCAACCAGCTCTGTTGGTTTGTTATAAATAATACCCAATTTTACTCGTGTCCAAAGGGTAGCTTACCAGTGTCATCAGCATAGATGAGAAGTGCCACCTCAATTTACATCTGTATATAAAAGGCTATAATGAAGGCAGCAGGGGATACACACTTAAAGTTAATTATAGTATTTGCATAGGCCTGCACCTGAAAGGAATCCATTTTCCACCATTCTCCCTTCATCTTTCTCATTTATTTTGACCCTTGTTGCCTATTTCCCTTCTTCCCAGAAACCAACTTCAGAATAAAAAATGGAATATACCATGCACAGACATACACACACTATAAATACTCCCTTTAAGCACTGCATGCAATTCCAAAACTATTTCAAATCCACAGGGAATTATTCAGAAACAACAACAACCAACAGAGGTGATTAAATCATTATAATCTGAAGTTTCAGGGTAAAAAAAATAGAATTGCTCTCAAACTAGATCATAGATGCAATGTTGAGTCCATGGTGCTTTCTGAGTTTGGTCATTTTTTTGCAAAGTTGTAATGTTCTCAGTTTCTTAGTGTACAACAGAGAACTTAAATAAGCAACTGGATAGCTTATATTCCTGATAATATACATTCTCCATTAAACAGATACCATAAATAGTGTAGATAGAAATACAGAATAACAGATGAGAGAATTGGAAGGGACCTTGGAGGTCTTCTAGTCCAACCCCTGCTCAAGCAGGAGACAGCATTCCATTCTGGACAAATGGCTGTCCAATCTCTTCTTAAAAACTTCCATGGTGGAGCATCCACATCTTCTGGAGGCAAATCATTCCACTGATAAATTGTTCTGACAGGAAATTTTTCCTTAATTCTAGGTTAGCTCTCTCTCTCTCTCTCTCTCTATTAACTTTCCGTCACTTGTCTTGCCCTCAGCTGCTTTGGAGAATAGTTGATCCCATTCTCTGTGACAGCCCCTCAAAAATTGAAAGACTGCTATAGTGTCACAACTAGTCCTTCTCTTCATTAAACTAGACATTCCTAGTTCCCAGACCATTCATTGCATAGTTTAGCCTCTAGACCCCTAATCATCTTTGTTGCTCTTCTTCATACTCTTTCTGGAGTCTCAACTTTTTAATCTCAATATTCAATTTTACTTATATTCCAGACCTCCTTCCTGCTCTGTTTACCACTATTTTCTCTAATTATTATTAAAATAAGGTGAGGACAAAAATCACAGAATTTTGTAACGTCCCCTTCCTCCAATGGTCACACTAATCAGCAACTAATTTGTGAAGATATTTCTTAAAGATTTTAATGCTTGATAATGTTTTGTTTTGGAAAAGTACTATGAAGAGTTCTTGTTTTTGAACTTTGGAGCTACTTTGGAAAGAAATCATCACTATTTTATTTTTTTCTGGGTGAGAAGAAACATAGTTCCAATTTTCCTTTGGAAAAATACAGATAATTTTAGCTTAAATTGAAGGGAGACTTAAAGTATTTGCTCTTTTTCAGACATAATATGAAAGAAGAAAGATATATTTATAAATGAATCATTGCCTATCTCTCCTACAAGGTGTCTTGCAATCAGAGGATAAGCCAGCTGGTCAAAAGAAATAGATTAAACCCACTTTTGTTTACTCCAAGAATTACAAATAAAGTGTGAAAGATTTTCTTAATATAGATGTACCTGATCAGGCTTGGTTCCCATAAGTAACCTTACTGGATCTTAAAGAGATAGTAAGAAATGAAAAGGTGAGGTTAACAATTGTTTAAAATGCTCAAATCACATAGATTAACAGTAAAAAAAAAAGGGTAGAGTCTAGAATCCAATCAAGTATTCTATCTGGTTGTGTGCTTAATTTTAATTGCTTTTCTGTTTATCTTTTTATGTTCTGTAAGCTGCCCAGTCACCTGTCAGAGAGATGGATGGTATATAAATTTAACAAATAAAATAAATAAAATTGCTGCTTTTCTCTTATCACTACACTTCAAATTATCCCATCCAGTCTAAATCAAAGAAGCAGAGATGTCATGGTCGTTGCTACTACACTGCCAAAATTTTGAAAAAGCACCAACCCCAAAATAAACCATGTTATGGCTGAACAAAACGGGATCCCCAAAATGAGGCCCTGAACGCAGCTCAATGTTTGCTTCAAGGCAAAATAGCATGTTTTGTTCAAACATTTTGTTTTGAGTTCCAAAGACTCAGTACAATGGTTTTGAAGCATTTTGGATAGCCCTATACCTAATTAGTCACAGGAAACTACTTCAAAGAGGAAGAGACTCTGGGAAACTAACCAGTTGTCTTGTTTTCAATATCTGGCAAAGATGAAAAATAGCAACTCCAGAGTTCTTTGTATCCAAAAGTTAAAGCAAGGTTTTGGAAAGCTAATCATGTCAAACTAACTTTATGGTAAAAAAAAAAAATCTACATCATAGCAGTAACTCATTATGCTTTTGTAGTAATGTGCTGTTTTATTCATGTGTTTCAGCCAAGCATGTTGCATAGACAAAACAATTGTAAACTCACCAGAACCAGGAGATAGGCAGCAAATAAAATTTATAAATAAATAAATAAATTTACAGCTTATTTTTTTACAATGAAGGAGATCAAGAAATAAATAAAATGCAGCAAGAAACAGGACGAAAAATATTTTGGAAATATGTCTAGTTATTTATTGTATAACTTTTAAACACAGCATTAAAATATTAATAAAAAACATTATTAAAACATGCACTGCTTATGCTTCACTGCTTTTACTACTGTCAACAGAGACATCAAACATACCAAAATGTTCTTAAAAAATCAAGTTACCGACAGAATTAAGGATGTTGAATTTCCCTTACAGATTACAGGTGTGTCCTCTATAACACTCATTACATCATTATTATTGTCAGGAATCGATTTCAGCAATATTTGTTTTCAAAAGTATGGCCTCATTGTTATAGCACTGAGATTTTTATAAATATCAAAGTAAACACCTTTTATCCACCACTATTCACTTTTGATATCTCATGCAGAGTTTCTCATGATGGATTAAAACCTTTTTTTCCACTTGACTACCTTCATGCTGTACATGCTGTATCATCTGTTGTATTGATATGAATCCATTTCATCTGATGTATCCAAAATAATCTGTATCTATATTCAAGGGACTTAGTTGACAATTAGCCTGACTTTGATATGCTTAAGCTTACCTGATCTGTCCAATGTACGCTATCAAAATGTTCTTGGGAAAGGGGAGGAATTATCACTACCTAGAACAGGGCTGTCAAACTCTTGGCCCATGGACTGGATGCCACGCTTGATTTAGCAAAGGCGAAAAAAGTCCCGATATATAATATTATGCCACCATGAGGTGAGTTTGACATCCCTGATCTAGGAGGAGGAAACTGCAGTGATAAATGGAAGTAATCATAACAACTTAATTCCTTCCATGTATATTTTGGATCTCAATTCCCAAGTCAGTCTATGGCAGGGCTGTCAAACTCGCGGCGTCATGACTTTTTCCCCTTTCACTAAACCTGGCGGGGGCGGGGCCAGCATGTGACACATCCGGCCTCCAGGCTGCAAGTTTGACACCCCAGGTTTATGGAAAGCTGAGGTTCAACACATCTAGGAGGAGGAAACTGCAATGATAAATGGAAGTAATCATAACAACTTAATTCCTTCCATGTATATTTGGGATTTCAATTCCCAAGTCAGTCTATGGGAAGCTGACGCCCAACACATCTAAAGGTACCATGTTTCAGCATGTTTAAACATTGAGAAGGTGGAGAAGTTACATAAAATTGCCACGCACAGAAGTGTGTGGAAATGATCATGAGCATCATTTCCACACACTTCTGCAATTCTATCATCCAACAAAATTCCAAGGCTTGGTGAACAGGCTACAAGTCAATGCATTAAAAAGAAATCTTCAAAATGAATTTTCCAAAAGTTACAAAATAAAAATAATTTTGTTACTAATACATGGGTTTGCTTTGGAATGTGGTGTGAAAAAGTTGGTATCAGATGAACATTTATGTACAATTGTAGTATCATGGCTTTCTTGAGAACAACCTGGAGAAATGCAACAGGTTTTTCCTAAAAATATCCATAAGTGATTTTAAAAAAGTATATCAAAGAAGCAGAAAGGCATCAATATAATATATGGCTCAGATACTTATGGGACTGCCTTGGAAAAAAGACAGTGTAAGAAATTTCTAATTCGGGGTCTTTGCAGAAGAAAATATATATTACAAACAGACAGAAATATGAAATCCAATTTGAATATGAGAAAAATTTATATAAACAATAATACTGAGATGGTTTATTCTAACCTAGTAGAGAGATGTTCTTATAACATACTCTTTAAAAAAATAAAATGTCATTGTAAAACTGAACTTATACAAACACGTCTATGTATAACTGCAACACTCAAAGTCATTATAGAAGACATTTTTTTCTTGCAGTTATTACTTGTGCATAGTATGATCACCCTGTCCACGGACAGAAGCATTCTTAACGTAGAACTCCCACAATAATTATCAATTTTCCTCCTATATTCTAGACAGCTGGTTATCAATTAAATTCTCCAGAAATAAAACAGGAACATTTTAAAAAAATTACATGGTTGTACAAGAAACCTTAATTCAAATATTCAATTTCACTTTATAAAAGTCAACACTGATAACCAGCTGTTGCATATTGAGATATGCTCCCATGTGAACAAACCTTAAAATCAGATTATCTGCATCAGTTTTTCCAAATGCTTTCCATCCTTCTTTTTTCCTACCAGCTTTCCTTTGATAGAAGCCATCTTATCATACAACACTTGTCAACTTCTATTGGCTATCTTAAATGACCATTCAAAGGGAATTGCTAATATTCCAATTTTGGAGCTACTGCTCCATTTAAACTGTTATCTTCATGAACATATGGTGCTTGGTTCCAACGTTCCACCTTTGTTTAAAAAACTTAATACAAATTCTTGGTTCCATTGGGTAATTTTTTTTTTACGAAGCAGTCTCTCTCCCTAAGGTGTTCTTGGAAAAGACGGTGTTTGCCTTATAATCCATTCTGCATGAGGGTTCACATGGTACAGGTCTAAAAGATATGTATCTGGATCCAGGCAATGTTCATCTGTTAGAAGGAGAAAACAGTTTGCTTAGTTTAAAAAAAAAAAGAGCTATAAATCCTTCAGTACAGTTTATTTTATGCTTAGATAAATGATTTCATAAAGTTTTCATGAAACATTATTCCCGGGCTACAAGTAAAGATTAGGAAGGTGGAAGATCCTATGAAGAAAATGGTTCTAGTTGTAAAGAGATGAATTAGGCTCATGATAGAACCAAAGAGTCTGCTGAGCGTTATGCTATAAATGGACTTGTAGTAGCTGGAAACAGGCATTTGTTAAGAATGTCTCTGGGAAGCATTTTGATTCACACCTGGAAGCTATCTCCTCTTTTTCACTCTTTCAAAATCAGATGTGAAACAACTTTTTACCAAATACTATCTTAGTTGAATCCTTCATATTTCACACATAATGCTATATCAGAATTATGCTTTTGTCAGGTTGTAGGAACCAGGCTCACATTTGATTAAAGGATTTTCTCTGAATGCCCAACCTGAACAATTTTCAGCAACTTCCATGCTGCTTTGTTACTGTGTACTGGTAAAGATGTCAATTCTTAGTTGCTGCCATTTATTCCTTCAGCAGTATTTATTCTCCATTGCCAAAACTTATCCCTTGAAACTAGTAGCCCATATTCCCCCTGAACAAGAATTATGTAAGCATACATACTTATGTTGCCGCCAACTTCATAGAGTAGAAAGTTCATCGAATCCACTGAACCATTACTGCAAAACAAAGAAAAACACAACAATATATTTCAATGTTCAGCAAACAAACTATTTTTATTAATCTAGATCTAAGGTCAGAGAAATCTGTTTTTCAAAAGGTTAAAAAAGTTTAAAAACTATTTAAAATATGTCTTTTTTTAAAAAAATCCCAGTTAAAACTTTCTCTTAAACAACAATAATTTTATAATAAAATATAGTTTTCCAGTTAGAGAGACTGATAATAAACCTATATGTGATTAAAATTAATCCAAGGTACATGTGAATGTAGAAAGTGTATTTATGCTGAGAATATCATGGACAGTTTCCCTCCCTTTCCCACTGCCGACCTCCAAAAGGAAGAAATGGATCACTGAACAAATGAACTCCGAGTTCTCTCTTGAGGCACAAGTGATGAGACTCAAATTATCATACATTGGACACATTAGTCCAAACTCTCTGGAGAAGTTCTGAATGCTGAGGAAAGCGGAAGGAAAGAGGAGAGGACAGATAGTAGCAAGACACATTAACTCAATTACAGCAGCAATGGATACACCATTGGAAGACAGGAAGGGCCAAGTTGGGGACAGAACATCGTGGAGAAGGTTTATGTGGTCACCAGATCACCTACTTGATGGCACTTAATCAATCACATGTGAATAGCATGTAACTGATCTTGAAAAAGCCACACAATTGCCACACGTATAGAATAGCAGCAAAAAAGACTAGGGTTATAAATTCTAGAGAGTCTTTATATTTTATCTTTGCATAAGATTCTACAGCTCGAGACATAGTATCAATTTAATTAACTTCTATAATTTGACCATGGTAGGTGGAGATTATGAACGTTGTGTACAACACATGTGTAGGGCACACGCCAGTGAAAACTGCTCAAGAGAACAATAGTCTAGTGAAGACATTCCCTTTCTTCTCTTAACTTCTAGCAAAAGGCAACCTTCTCAAGAAAATTAAAAGGCTAAAAAAAATCAATATCTATTGACAACATTTCAACTTAGCTCAACAGCCAGTTCAAGAGATACTTGAACGTGTTAAAGGCAAACTGCACTGCTCCTGGTGGAAAAGGCTTGACATTAATAGAGCATTAAGTGCTAATGTCTTAAATCTATTGTGGCACATCCTTCCTTTTTCCACTGTATAGGCATATATTTTATTTACTGAAGAAGACAAGGAAACTACTTCCTATGCATAGGGAACCTCTTGCAAACAAATTATATCAAGAGATTTTCCAAGTCAGCCACATATTTGGGTCATGATTGCTAAACTGTAACTAATAATAATTATAATTATTGCTATATTTTTAGCTGGCTTTTGATTAGCATAATTTGAAGACTAAGATCTCTATAACACAGCACCAGAATAGAACTGACTGCATTACCCAGGTTGGGGTTTGGCCCAAAAGGTTTTATAAGAATCCCAGCCAATATCAAGATTACAACTATAAAGAAACTATAAAGCATAAGGACCAGCTAACAAACAGGGTTTCTAGATACTGGACATTGATGCTTTAAGAGCAACATTCACGTGACAAAATACTTCTTTCCATCAGTTGCCTGGTTTCTTTTTTTAAAATTATATTGCACTGAATGGGGAAGAGACAAGAAAGAAATCAGAGTTGGCAGCAAAATGAAACAATACATCCCTTTCCTAAGAGGTCTGTAGGGGGCGTGCATAAGCGCACCAATGTGCCTACAGTCCCTGTCCTATTGTTTCTTTTTATTTTTCTTATATGTATCCATTTCATGTATTCATAACTATATTTACACTTATACCTATTATCTTGTAAGTGATTGACAAATCAAATAAATCAAATAAATAAATAAATCTTTCTGATTCTAGCAGAAAATGCCTCTTCAGAAAGCTGGCTTTATTAGCAATCTTCATTAGCTAATAATGTGAAATTTCTTTAAATCTAGGTACCATGCTGACCTAGGCCCCTCTCATAAAGGGAAACAGGGTAGGTCTACATGAATAAGGACCAGGGCTGAAGCCTAGACTTGAAAATCCAACTTGCCCCCCTCTTCCACAACCATAAGACAGCAATAGCAAACCACTTTGGTATTTACTCCCAAGAAAATCACATGGTTATGGATTTGTGGATAATTACATGGATAAATCTTCAAACTTAAGCATTCAACAATAGATCCAATTTTCTCCATTCATCTTACTCTGACACAGCTTCCCAATTAAAACATGCAGCATTTTAATATTAGCACATGCCATATTAAATGCAAAGTGCAAATGCAAAGATATCTTTAGCAAAGATGTTGCTTATATTTATTTTGCTCTCTTTTAGTTTTGAGGGGAAATGGCTGATATTAACTACTTGAAGTAGGCCCAAGTAAAAAAAAACAGACACAGCAGCAATTTTAAGAATGCTACTTTAGTGTTGGAGGCAGGTTTGGGCTTCAAAAATTTTAGCAAGGGGTTCTCTGCCCGGTTACTGGGTAAGCATGGCATGGTGGGTCAGCCTCCTGCACTACAGCGGGGGCAGGGAGAGCTTTTGCCCTCCCCGGCTCTGGAGGTTTTCTTCGAGCCTCCGGGAGGGCGAAAACAGCCTCCCCAGCTCCGGAGGCTTTCTGGAAGCTGGAAACAGGCCCGTTTCCGGCCTTCCTGAACTTCTAAGAGGCCTGTTTTTCACCCTCCCCGAGCACCCTGCAGTTACCTGCATCTAAAACGGGCTGCATGGGGACTCCTGGGAGGGGCAGAGTGTGTGGGGGCCAGCCAGGATTAGAATTTGGGGGCCCTCCAAACTGTGCAGAATCTTAGCTAGGGGTTCTCCCGAACCCCTGCAAACCCCCAGCAGCCCACCCCCAGTTGTAGAGCACATAAAAGAATATTTAAAGCCTATCCCAAACTTTCCTTACCGTTTTAAGGAAAACAAAATAAGGTAGCTTATTCACACTTTCTACTTTCCCAGGACTAAGCAAACATTTCACCTCTTCTACCTCCTTCAGGAACAGACCCGGATTCCTCCAGATTGACTATATTTGTATGGGAGGGTAATTTCAAAAGCAGAACAGTGTTTTTTAAAGAGTGGCAATCTAATGCAACATGTGCGTATTTGTTAGAATCTCTTCCTTCAAGGTAGAATCAGGCTGGTTGCCATGGATACTGAATACCAGTATCTTCTTCCATCTCTGCTGTGCCTCATAATCAAGAGATGGTTTCGTTATACCAGATATTAATCTGCAGAACAACACTTGCCTTACTTTGGATTCTTTTAACTTTAGGAATTTTTTTGTCAATTATAAGGCGAAGAGGGATTTCTTTTAGTTACCAATCCCTAGGTAGGAGTGTTCTAATTTTCATGGTAGTAAAGTACAGGACTACATTATTCATAAAGAAGTTTTTATCTTGTAATTAATTATTTTTAAGTATTGTAATGTACAGATACACTTAGTAGCTTAATATACATTCCCCAGAAAACACCTTCAAATTTGGAAAGTCTTAAAACTTTCCATTAGGCTTAGGGCACTGCCCAGAGTCATGAAAAATCAATCGATCAAGCACTCACTGAAACTCTTTGCATACTATGATTGAGCTGACTTCTCTAGCTACTGAAAAAACACAGACACAAGATCTGTTTCCTTTAAATGGTGTTTAACTCACAGTCTTCAAATTCCTCCTGCTTAACATACAGATAAAACCAAGCCATAGCTATGCTCTGCTTGGCTTAGGGTAAGGAAGAAAATGGGAAATTATTACCATTTGATTATGTTGACTGTGCTGACAATACTCCAGCCATTCTGACCAAGGTTCTTCTGGAACTGTCTCAGAACATCAGCTACTTTTGTTCCATGAGTTAAATGAACTTCCAGTGAGTCTTTTAAGAACAAGGAAGCCTGGATTTTGACTATTTTGCAAGGCTGAAAGAAAGGGACAGCAATAAGAGAGATATGAATAACGAATTAAATTAAAAATATTGGACCAAGATAAAAACATGGCTAGAGGAAATTACTCATTGTAGGTTGGAGTGAAGCTGGAATTATTTCTCCTGGGAATCATTAAAGAAAAATATTCCCCTAAAATTAGGTATTTGATTACACATATACTAAAGGTGGCATGAATTGCATTGGCGCAGGTTGGAGGATGTCCACCATACCATCTAACAGCATTATAATTCACAAAATTTTAGAATGTGCAGAGATGGATAGGCTCACGTTGAAATTAAAGGATAAGGATTATTTATTTTGGAACATTTGGTACCAATGGTTAGACAGTAAAGTACAATAAAGAAAGGTTACAAAAGGAATTTAAAAAGAAGAAAAAAGGGAAATAAAATTGGAATACTAGCAAAAAGACAGGACAAGGGAGAAGTTATAGAAATTGAGGAGCTGCTAGGGAAAAAAAAGCAAGATTCAGATAGACATCCAGATTAGGATTTATAATTACCTAGATATACTGTAGAAATATATGGAAATATACAATAATGAATGATAAAATGTGTTCCCTTCCTCTTCCCATACTTACAGAATATTAAACTACAGCCCATAGTCTACAAATACCCTTGATGTTTTAGATATATAGACATATATTAAGTGTCAATATGATGTTCTTTTCTCTCTTTTTTGTTTTTTTCTTCTCTTTTAATTTGAATTAGTGACCTATAAAGATGATATAGCTTTGTTTATTAACATTAATTAAGAACTGTGAATTAATATAGTTAATATGCTAAAAAAACCTGTCAAATTCTTTGTGTACATATGGTACTTAGTGTACTGTCAAGAAAATGATATTGAAAGATGTCGATATAATTTCTATTACAGAAACTTTTGTAAATCTTTTTAACATTTTGTTTTTTTGTAAACTTTTTAATATCTTGAACTATAATAAAGTACTTTTTTAAAATTAAAAAAGAAAGAATTAAATTAAAAATAAATCCAAATGCCTGTAACAAATATGGAGGTATACTGAGTTAATCAGGGTGTGGAGTTACTCTTACCTCCAAATATTTGTTGTGTGTAAATCTCCAGGCAATAAGAAGCAAGGAGTAAGAATGCCATAAAGAAATGATTAAAACCACTTCATTCACATTTAAGAGTGGTATGAGTACCTAGAACTGATAAAACATGACCGCCCCCTTGTGTTTACATGAGGGAGAGACTTACTTTTCTTGAAGGCATTTGTCACAAAAAAACACAGCCCAATTTCTTTTTAATCACACAAGAATCACGTGAAAGGAACTACTTTGCAGGATTTTGATGTTCTTTTGCACATCAAAACTCAATGTACTACCCAAATCCATTGAAAAGTCATTTAGATGACAAGTTAGGCATGATTGTAACATCTAGGGGAAGCAATACTGTGAGCCATCATTTCATTTGTGTACATGCCTGGAATGGACTATTAAATCAGCCTCTACATGCTCCTTGACTTACAATCACAGCTGAGATTAGAATTTCCATTGTCAATCATCGCGGTCATAAGTTGAGTCACCATGTGATCAGACCTGAGTTTATGGCCATTTTACTGTGGTTGTAAATCAAGTCACATGATAACCAGTGGAATTTTTTTTACCGGAAACCAGCAACAAACATTGCAAATTGACATCACTTAACAGCAGGACAGTGCAACTAGTCATAAATGTGAACTGATTGCCTAGCATTTAATTTGCAATCATGTGGATTGGTTGGAATTCAAATTTAGGACATTAACTGACTTTTTCAGAGGCTATAATTAATTCAAACTGTTATTAAGCAAATGGTCATAAACTGAAAACTACATTAGAACAGATGCACTTCATTTCTACTCTTTCCAGCTCCCACTCTGTTCTTCAAATCATCCATGCTTACAATTGGATGCTAATCCCCACACATATCAACATGAGCAGATTCTCCCTGTCATTTTTATTTACCAAAATTATTAGGGAGGATAGATAGCTTTCAGTCCCATATTTATGATGTTCTAGTAATACAAAATGGCTGAACAGAGAAGATCTCACTCACTTCAACGTTGTTCTTTTCTGTCTTTTCCTTGTCTGCATGAATCTTTCTTAACAGATTCTTGATCTTCCTGTCGTAGAACTGATACTTCCAGCTGCTGTTCTCATTCAGTTTTCTTATTTGAGTTACCAAGAAAGAAGGAACCTAAAGCAAAGGTGTGCAAACTTTCAGTGACACAGTTCACTCATATCAGAAATCTTCAATTAATCATTCTTAATTATCTCCCAAAAATGGGAGAATCAAACAACAATTGTGGTGGTGGTGTTTTTTGATACGTTTAATTATATTCACCACACCCTTACATGTCCAATTATTTTATCAGCAATTTTTTTTCTGAAATTTCCTGGTTGCTTGAAAAAGGTAGTTTTGATCAAAGTTATCTATGTATGAAAAACGACTTTGAATCTAAATAATGGAATTTGTAAATACTGTCAGCCTGAACTAGAAAGTGAAAGGAGGTTGTTTTAAATGCTAAAAAGATCTTTTTAACCAACACTTCTCTCTTTGCATAAATTTTGCTAATAATAATTTAAGAAAGACTTAAAAGTTTCCCCTAACTTACAGTCCACAGCAAAGCTTGATAATGGATCATCATTCGAACAATATCTGCTGCTCCTTCTGCCAGCTGCTTCTCTTTTCCTTCTGGGATCTTGCTTGGCAAACTCTTGTGCATGAAGAGGTTTGGAGCAATCACAGTGGAAACATTCCAGAGACTCATCTTGTTTTTTCTTTCTTTGGTAACTACCAGCCTAAGGAATTCCAGCAGTGCCTGAGACAGGAGAAGAGAGAAACATCTGATTCCAGAGAGACTGAATATTAAGGACTGCTTACTGATGACACCTATCTGCTGCCCAAATCTGCAAATTGAGCCGAGTTGTTCAGTGTTATGATCCTTTTAAAAAGGTATGACAGAACTACTTTGCACATCAAAAATACTTCAATGTTTGAATACAGCAGTCTTTAACTTATATGAGTTAGCAGAAAGTCCTGATAGTTCTGCATTACTGATACCTTCAAAATAGGGGTGTCAAACTCAATTTTACTGAAGAGTGCATCATGGTTGTGTTTGACCTGGGGTGGTGGTGGAGGCGTGGCATGGCCAGGTTGACGTCACTTGTGTTGGGGACGCCTGTGGTAGCCCAAGCACTCTGCCAGTGAAAATGGGCTCCCAAGCTCCGTTTTCAGCTGCAATGGCCTCCTGCAACCTTCTGCCAGAGATAACGGAGCTCCGGAGGGCTGCCCACAGCCCTCCCGAGCTCCATTTTTGTTTGAAGAGGCACTGCAGGCTAGTCCTGTGGACCAGACCTAAGCATCCTGCAGACCAAATCCAGCCCCCAGGCCTTCATTTTGACAGTCTGGCTTAGAATTTCAAAGCATGTGCTATTTCCTGACAGGCAGATATACTACCAAAACACTGTTTTGAAGCTATCCAGTAATTTTATTTTGTTGTTAATAAGCCCATTTTTTGAAATAAATTTTCCTAGAGGCTAGGTTTTTTTTCTCTGCAACACCACAAACTGCTGTTTACTTTTTATTTTTAATTTTTTTAAAAAAATCTACATTTGATGGGGTATGGAGTCTAGCAGATACCAACAAGTCCTAATCATCCTGGCAAAATGATGTCCGCTTTGTCATAAAGAATAGGAAATGATGAAACAAATACAATTAAACAAACAGCAACAACTATATGCAAATTTGTGGAATTTTTAAAGCAATTATGAACAATTTTGCTGAACCCATCAAGGCCCATCAAGTCAATCACTATGCAAGGAGAGGAATCCTGGAAGTGGCATCCCCACATTTTCTGAAATACTACTCATTGCCCTTTGTTTTTTAAAAAAGAACCCCTTCCATTTAATGCTATTATAGGAATATCAGCAATAAAGTGGCTGGCTGGGGAATTCTGGAAATTGAAGTCCACACATCTTCAAGCTGCCAAGGCTGAAAAAGCCAGACTAGTCTAAATTCCAGGGAATTCCTGATCAGCCTATTCAAGTAGTTTCCAAATATTTAGCACAGGCCTAACATTGCAAACTTAAGAGTCTAATAGCTGGATAAAATTGGGAATCTGAGACCTTATGCCAAAAAAATATGTACTACAATGTATTATTACCAAGCTATAGCTTTTATTCAGTGATTTATTGCCACTGGAAATTATTCAAGTCATAGCTCCCTGGGTAGTATTTGCCTGATTACCTTCAGAGTGTTTCGATTAGGTTCTGGTAAAATCAGTATCAGCAGATTGAGAGCCTGTAGCCTATGTTTCAAATCCGGGATATCTGTAGTGGAGAGAACAATTGCATTTCTTTTGAGAATTAAACCTCTAAGATCCTGACTCTGAATAGCCCGTTGCTCCATTTCATACATCTGGTATGCAAAGCATTCAACATAAGGTAGGGTCATGACCCTAAGTGATGGGAAACTGCTACAATCATAGGAACTACTGAGGTTATTCAAAAGTGTGCGCAAACAACCATTTAACCAAACAGCATTTTCTATGACGATTTCAGTTGCATAATCTGAAAATAATAATAATAACGCCAAGGTGAGCTGCATCTTCTTCCAGACAGCTGTAGGAAATTAAATGTAAGAACGAACATAATACAGCAAGTGAGGCAAGACAGACACACGTGTGTCTCTCAGAACAGGGGAAGGTTTCTATTCACAAAATGGCTTCACCAAGGTGGGTGTGGATAGGCACAAAATACCCATTTATACAAGAGCGCAAACTGATAGATTTATTTCCCATTATCTTCTTTATCCCTCCTTCCAGGATCACCGTTATCATCCTCACTTTCTTTCTGAATGTTAGGTGAACTACATTTCTGAATACAGCTCTGGGCTATAGCCACACATCATTTTTTATCTCCTTCTGCAAGTCCAGAAGGAACTCTGAGGTTCCAATTCTTGGAAATTATTATGTTCAACCTTGCTTTATTTTGAGGCATATCATCATCCTTTTCCATTTCTATTTTTTTAAAAATCTAACTATACACTAAAATCAAGTGAGCAAGGAATCTAGGAGGCAGCAGACGATGCACCTACTTCTAGCTTATATAAAAGTTATCCCTATGATCAAGCAAGAAAATAGACATAGACAGCTACAGAACATGTCCACCAACACATCCACTACAGCGTAATGCCAACCCTGCCCGCCCCCCCAAGGAAGGCAAGAAAAAATGAGCGCTGAAGGCTATGAAATCTTCTCTGCTTGGCCTAGCACTTACTCTGCACAGCTGCAAAGGCAGGCAAGTATTCTGCTGTCAGAAGAGGTGTGGGTAACTCTCGAATAAATCTCTTCAGCAGACCAGAGACGTCATTTTGATGCACCTCATCCCACCGGAAGAAGCCACTGTAGAACTCATTTTCCAGTTTTTGTTCCAAACACTAATACAAGGGGAAGAAAATGAGGAAAGGGAAAGAGAAAAGAGATGCCTCGAGGTTAAACAGACTTTGGGGGTATTTGGTTAAAACAAGCCCCTGCATGAAGGTGAGAGAAATGTGATCTGCCTTAAAACACAACTACAGAAACCAAGGATGAATGGATCAACATTTGGAATTAAGGAAAAACAGTAACATAGCATTTTCCCAGTGACAAAATACAGTACCTAACCTTGCAAACTGAATAGCTCTTGCTAAGAGATGGAAAGCTTATTAGTATTCCAGTCCACATTGAATACATCACAATGATTTACTGCAGCAATAATCGAAAAGATTGGGGTTTTTAATCCCTCTGAATTTAGCAAAAAGTGGCATTCTTCCTGCTTGCTGCTGCCACTTTCTGGTCAGATGGCTGAGTTACAAGCTCTCAGAGCAAGGAACTCCTTCTTTATCCAACATGAAATAACAAATGGAAGCATATTCTCTGATTGACTACAATATTACCTTAAGTTGTCTTGCATTTGTTTTACCTACGATCCAAAGCGGTTTTGCTTATATATGACAGTTAACCATGGTTTGTAACAGTGGTGGGATTCAACCGGTGTTACTACCGGTTCGGTGATTACGTTTTGCACGTGCGTGTAAGAACACCTATAGCTGTGCCGCCGGGACAGCTGAAAAATGCTGCGCGCAGGTGCACAGTGTTTGGAAAGCCTCTTTTTTCCTGCTTTTTCAATCTCAGCTGTGCCGTGCAAAGCAGCTGAGGTTGAAAAAGCAGGAAATAAAGGACAGGTAAGAGCCCGGGCGGGCAGGTGGGTCAAACAGCAGCAAACACAGAACCAGTTCTGTGTCTGCTGCTCTTCAGAGCTACTGGTTACATAGAGCTGGGGAGAAACGGTAGCATCCCACCCCTGGTTTATAAGTCAAATGACCAGCTTTGATAAGCTATTATCAAGTCAAATACAATTAGGCATAAAGTGATGAGTGAATGAGTTACTGTAGAGTTGAGACTTCCCTATGTTATGAACAGATAATAACACTGAATAATACTTTTACTTTCTAAGCCAACATAACTCCTGAGAAACCCCCTTAACCTTTGCATCTTATAGAAGATTCCAACTGTGATGCAAAAGCAACTATTTTCTTCTAAAAATCTGCATGATGTGCCAGATATCTAAGACGATACATAAAGAATGACAGAGAACTAAAACTTAACTAATGCTTGATAAGTGATCAGAATATACACTGTCTTCATAAAAACGACACTAAGGCTACCGATTCATCAATTTTATAAAAACCTTTCCTAAACACTTAGCAGAGGTATTCCAAACAACAATCCAGCCACCAGGAATTGTCTGACCATGTACCAAAAACTGTCTAGTAACCCACAGATGGACTGTAGTCTGCATCAGTGATGCTATTCTACTGGTTCAGGCAAGTTCTGGCATATCGGTAGCGCCGAAGATCAGCTGAGACCGAACCAGTTCTCTCTGACGTGCTGCTGTTGGGCCCACCCACCTGCCCACGTTCCCATGCTGACCTTTATTCCCTGCTTTTGAAGTGCAGCTGCTTTGCGCGGCACAGCAGATTGAAGCACATCAGCTCTTGAAGCTACAGGGATTGCAGGAGGTGAGTAGGAAAGCCTCTGCGCATGTGCAGTGTGTTTGCCGTGTGCACACGTAAAGTGTGTGCACATGCGCAAGCACTATTCTGTCTTTTGATTCACTTGCTGAATATAAAGACAGATACAGTAACTACAAATTCTTCCACACAAAGTTTCTTTTATTAGATTATATTAGGTATCCTCAAGGTAACTCAGCTATGTTGAGACACATCTAATGTCCAATTCTTTGCATAGTTGAACTCAGTATAAAATGATAGTAATCTTTCTATCCCATATTTCATCCCATAGTAGTAGAAGCAGGGGTTAGAGCTGCCACCATGAGGCTGTGTTCAGGCAAGAGTGAAGAAACCTCCCCCAACCCCCCAAGGGTCAATTCAGTGACCAATCAGGGTTACAGTTGTGGCCACATGACATGAACTACATTTCCCAGGATACCTTAATTACATTTACCATGATGCATTCCCTTAAGGGGACAGCTCTCAATTCCTAACTATATCCCAAATCCCATTAACTCTAAACTGTCTGGACAGAACAACGCCCCCCAAGCCACACCCACCGAACCGGTGGTAAACCTCTTTGAAACCCACCACTGGTCTGCATTCTATTTACTTTTATTTAGATCTCATCTATGATCTACTTCTGTATATCACAGTGGATGATACTGCAGATCAAATGGATCTTTTCCCCAAAAAACATGGTCCAAATGCTGATGTTCTCATGAAGATTATCCAATAAATTTCCAAAGAACTCCAGAGGAAACTGAATTAAAAACCATAGCAATATACCTTAATGCGAGACTGTGACCCTGAAACTCTCAGAATTCCTTCTGTATCCAGCCCTTTCTTTTCCAAACATGAAAGCAACTGTGAAGCAAAAGGGCAAATCATCACGAGAAAGCAACAATATTGCAGCCAAATTCAAAACACAGAATTGATAGCAACAAGAGATATAAAACGAGCCTACCGCTTGTAGTATCAGTGGAACCTGGGTGTTTGAAAGAAGTTTTTGATCATTTTCCAGCAAAGTGCCAAGTGGAACTCCAAAAAGTTTATGGTCTGCAATGAAAGCAACTTATATTTAAAACTATTTCATCTCTCAAATAAAACAAAAACATGAACAAATAAGGACAGCTTAGTAGACCATAGGAAAAAACAACTGTACTTAAAACAGCAAGACCATAATGTGATTAGGATGTCCACCAATTCAGCTTTCTCTTGTGGTTCTCTAGCTCTGCCTGCCATTCACCTGTTTCCTTGATGGACTGTACCCTGTACCTTACTTGAGCCACAATAAAGCAGGAGAGAAAACAGCTTTGAATTTAACATCAGCTGTGAAGAAGATGGAAATAAATAAAAAAACAGCCACCATGCATGGGCTATGGTTGTGATGTGGTGGACTGGAGGTAGAGCTCTCACCTCACAATCTGATGCTGTGAGTTCGATCCTAGGTTGGGGCAGATATTTCTCTCTCTGGGCACAATGAGAATATATCTGCTGAATAAAACTCCACATTGGCAACAGGAAGGGCACCTGGTCAGCAAACACTTAGCGTCATTCAGTTGCCCAGACCAACCCGCAAGGGATTATGGAGTCATTAAAAAAAGATACATGGGCTATACTTCTGGCTCAAGACAGGTTTGTATGGGCAAGCAATATTATGAAAATATTGTGAACTTTTCACAATGACATATTCAAGAAGAGAAAAGAGTTAAGATCTAACCAAGAGCTGCAACATCCATGAAGGCTGATAGAGATTAGATTCCAAATCAGCTGGCTCCTTGATGTGGTAGCAATAATGGCCAAGCTATGACAGCAATAGCACAGCAATGGTATAAAAGCAGCAGTCATGGCTGCAGGAAGGTGATTGGAGAACATGGGTACCTTCCCTTATTATTGAACTGGTTAGTGAATACTGAAGCATGCAGAGGATGCAATGTGGAGACTTGTTGAAGGCTCATTTCTTGGGACAAAAAACTCCTCCTCACATGCTAGGAATCTCCATCATACAAATGCTGAGGAGTTGGACAGAGAAGCTGGACAGATATTCTGAATGTACAGACAGGCGTCATTTGGGCTTGCAGAACACAAAGAAGGTAAGATGACCTTTTCTCTCATCTATATATCCTAATCGTAATCGCCCCTCTCACAGAGCAAATCATCCTAAAAAAATATGTTCTCGTTTTTTTGAAAAGGGCTGTTTCCCCCTAAAACTATTATGTGATTTAGTCTCCAAAGATATCATAGTGACAATTCAAACAGGAGCAGAAATTACATGTATCAAATTTGCAAAGAGATTGCAATTTCCAAACCAGCAACCTTCAACCTTTTGGTTTCATTTCAGGGACCAATTCTGTGTAGAGTGGTTTTTCCACAGTGGTGTGTGTGTGTGTGTGTGTTCATGTCCTACCTGCATCCTACGTATGTGTGGATGGGGCTTTGCTCACTTGCATGGATTAGTTCCTGGTGGGCCACAGACCAGTGCCAGTCCATGGCCTGGGGGCTGGGGATCCCTTTCCCAAACCACAGTGGCAAGCAGCTATCAAATAAGCTTTCCCATTTGTCATTCAACAACTGTATATTTCCTCCTACCCCATCAATTTCAGGAAACACACCTTACAGGTACCATAGAAAAAAAAGGGGGGGGACGGATGAAAAACAGTTTACCTGATGACTTTCGTTTAACTGCCTTGTTCCTCTTCAGCTCTAAGCCAACAATATCACAGAGTGCAGTTAGTTCAATGAGTGCTAGGGTAGGAATTTTCTTCATGTCCTGCAGAGACAGATCTTCTGTCCTGGTTACTCCTAGCCTCCCCTTAGGGATCTTAAACTTCTAAATCAAAGAATCAAAAAAGAAAAATTAGTGTGACAGTCCACTTAGTAATTCTGAAAAAAATCTTTCTTCAAAGTAATGAATAGATAAAAACAGGAAAAGGGTTGGGTAAAACTTGATTGCAACTCAGCTTCTTCTAGAAGGTTGCAAGAACATCCATGTAATGAAGTTCTTCCAAAAAATGGGGAACAGATACAGTATTTTCCAGATATTTCTTCTGTTGATGTTCTGAAGATGTTTTGTGAGTGAGAATGGGACAGACACCCCCAGAAAGGCAAGCTACTACATTCACTAATAGTCTCCCAACTCTAAAAAAAAAATGAAAGTTCTGAAATCCTACTGATAACATTTTGCCATTCAGCCATCAAATTTCAGAGTTTAACAGATTAACAGAGTTGGAAGGAACCTTGTAAGTCATCTAGTCCAACACACACACACCTGCCCACGCAGGAAGCCCTACACTATTTCTGACAGATGGCAGTTCAGTCTCTTCTTGAATGCCTCCAGTGATGAAACTCTAACAACTTCTGAAGGCAAGCTGTTCCATTGGTTGATTGTTCTCACTGTCAGAAAATTCCTCCTTATTTCTAGGTTGAATCTCTCCTTGATCAGTTTCCATCCATTATTCCTTATCTGGACTTCAGATGCTTTGGAAAACAGGTTGACACACACCCACACACCCCATGACAGCCCATCAAATATTGGAACACTGCTATCATGTCTCCCCTGGTCCTTCTCTTCACTAGACAAGCCATGTCCCGTTCTAACCATTCTTCATATGTTTTACCGTCCAGTCCCCTAATCATTTCTGGGAGTGTTTACAAATGGGAGTACATGCAGCCCATGGTATGGCCAACCCTGGCTTAAAAATACTGGAAGTCTTACAGACAAACAACTCTCTTCCTTTATTCTCCGGATTTCCCTTGGGAATGATCCTTTAAGCAGAATTGCAGCCTGCTCTGAATAGGCAACTTCAGTGCTGAATAATTCTTCTCTCACAGAATCTCTTAGTGGAGACTGAAAGTCCGGGATTCCCATGGGATCTAAAAATAAAGATTTTTGAATGAAGAAAAGAACATAATAAACAAGACAGAAATTTATACTTCTATCTACTGCCTCAAATCAGTCTACAAAAATACAGATTGGTTTTTAAAATAAATAGTTCCCAGGGTCCTAAAACCAAGTAGCAATCAAATGTAAATAATCTAGGTTTTATATCTAGAATGAAGAGGTTAAATAAAAAAACTTTATGTTAACATACAAGCCCAAAAATTTAACTATGCCCTTTCCATCTGAAAATCCAGTTCTTTGAAAGATTTCAATACATACTGCTTGTGTTAATCAGTATTTTTTAAATGAACTTATTTTGGTCAATCAGTTGAGCTCACCCAATAATTTCATTTTCAATAATTTTTGTCATGTGAACACAATATAACACATAAAATTTGCTCTTAAGAATTACAGCCAGATGTACTGTATGCATTTACTCTATTCTAAGCAAGATATGATTGCTCTGCAAAAATGTTACTGGAACAATTAACTAAGGTCTGTGTGTTCCAGCCTAGCTGGTTTTATCTACTTAAGTTCCTCATTTTTTACAATTTAAAAAGCAGTATTATTTTGTGAGGAGGTGAGCAAGTTATACGACTGCATTGCAAAAGAGACAGCTAAGCCTTCACTGTGATATTGATGTGACTATTTCTACTGGCAAGCTTCAAAAAGTTCTACAAGTCCAACCCTTAAGTGCTACAATTTCTTGCAAACATGGTATCACAGCATACTAATGAGCCATGGTGGCGCAGTGTTTAGAATTTAGTACTGCAAACTACTTCTGCTGAGTGCAGTTTGGCAGTTCAATTCTCACCAGCTCAAGGTTGACTCAGCCATCCATCCTTCTGAGGTGGGTAAAATGAAGACGTAGGTTGTTGGGGGCAATATGCTGACTCTTGAAACCACTTAGAGAGGGCTATAAAGCACCGTGAAGCGATATATAAATCTAAGTGCTATTGTTATTGCTGCTAGTTGGAGAGTTACAAAACTATATTCAGCGTATAATCTCATGGAAAACCAGCAAGGTACAGAACATGTGGCAATTTCACAGCAAGGTACAGAACATGTGGCAATTTGTCAAAGACCACTTTTGTGGAGAAGAATTTAGAGAGGTATTTTTACTCTGGAGATGGCTAGAGAAAATACTCCCCAAACCTAGATAAATTATCCAAAAATAGATAACAGTGGTTTTTGTTTAGGTACTCTGGAGATGGCTAGAGAAAATACTCCCCCCAAACCTAGATAAATTATCCAAAAATAGATAACAGTGGTTTTTATTTAGGTAAACACTTAAAAACCCATTACTCTTCACAATAGGGATGTTTAAATTGATTTAAAGAGTTCCAGGGGGACTAAAATATAGCAACAGCAATAGCACTTAAGTCTTATATACTACTTCACAGTGCTTTACAGCCCTTTCTAAGCAGTTTTACAGAGTCAGCATATTATCCACAACAATCTGAGTCCTCGTTTTACTGATCTTGGAAGGATGGAAGACTTAGTCAACCTTGAGCCCACCAGACTTGAACTGCTGAACTGCTGGCAGTCGGCAGAATTAGCCTGCAGTACTACATTGTAACCACTGCACCACCACGGCTCCTATATCTGAAATTCTCTCAAATTAATTCTATTAAGATGAAAGCTGTTAAAATTATCAATGGTAATTTATTGTAATTAATTTATTGTTGAAATGACATGAAGATGATTCAGTGATATTGTTTTTATAATATAGGTAGTCCTCAAATTATAATTTGTTCAGAGGTCATTTAAAGTTACAATGGGCTGAAGGGACTTATGACCAGTCATTGAAGACTTTCTGACAAGCAGTTTTGGGTAATGAAGGAAAAAGTTGGGGAAGTACGGGCTTAATGGGGTAAAATGAGTGCCTAAAATCTTGCAAATGCTTAAGAGTCCCTTAAATTCCTGGGTCTTCCTTCTGAATCTTGATCTATACTTTAAAACCTGGGGTGGCTCTTTAGCCAACAACAGCTGCATACTTTTATTCTAAAGAATATATTCCTAGTTTCTATTTGTAGCAATGCAAAATGTTTCTTACATTTCTGAAGGTTTTTAGATGATGCAGACCTGCGGTGAGGTCGATCCATTTCAACCTCCAACACTGGTTCAGTCTCCTAGGCAAAGTGCAAGAAAAGCCGGTGAATGCACATATCACACTTTAACCATGGTTTGTTTAAAGCATGCATTCTAGCACATCAGTGAGCTGTTTTATGTGTAACCTAAATAAGTAGTAAGTTTATTGTTTTGATTGCAGGCTATCCTAACACTGAACATAAAAAAAGAAGAAATGATTTTTTTTTTCAAAATTTGATACTTACAATAATTGTATTTTTATAAAATGGATTTAACAGAGAAAGAAGAACTGGCACAGAAGATTAGGAATGCTAAGCAGAACTATTTTGAAGATGCAAATAAGCCAGATAAATGGCTAGCATATAAGTTGAGAAAGGAGAAAGAGTCGAGGAAAATATCGCAGTTAATAGATGATCAAGGTCAAGTTTGTTATGGCAATAAAGAGAAAAAGGAAATTATTCGAGACTTTTATGGACAACTATACAAGAAAGAGAATATTGATGAGGAAAAAATCAAACAGTACTTGCAGAATGCAAACTTACCTAAAATATCTAAAGAGACTGAAGAAATGTTAGAAAGTAATATAACAATGATGGAACTAAGCCAAACACTTAAGAAACAAAATAATGGGAAAGCACCAGGTCCAGATGGGCTGCCTGCAGAATTTTACAAAATATTACAAGAATCATTGAGCATCCCACTTTTAGATGTTATGAATGAAGCTATGTCAAAGAAGACGATACCTAAAACATGGTCAGAGGCTTATATTACACTTATTCCAAAAGAGGAGGCTGACCCACTGCAAATTAAGAATTATAGACCGATTTCTTTATTAAATGCAGACTATAAAATTTTTGCTTCGATTGTTAAAAAACCAATAAAATTGTTTTCAAAAAAAATAATAATAATTGTATTTTTATTTTATTTTTTTAAAAAATCAAATATGTATAAAACCACTAGTTTACGAAGACTGATTCACATATTACATGAAGCTAAATTTGTTTTGAGATTAAAATGCAACTTTGTCAGTACAACATAATTGAGATATCCCCTCAAAATCGACTCTCAGCCAATAATCAATCATCTCTAAAGAAGTTCATTAAATTTTATGAACAAAATGGAACTTGACATGATTCTGAAGCCCAGCAGATGGCAGCATGTAGCTGACCTCAAAAAGCTTACCTGGGTTAAACCCGATTATCCTTGAAAAGATAACTACCAGAAAATATTGGGGCTATAGGCTACACCAGAGAGATGAAAAAGATATCCTAAAATGGAATAATGGCAAGCCATCTGTATTTTTGCCAAGAAAATCATATGACATGGATGTAACATCATCAAGTCAAGTAGAATTTGAGGAAATCTTTCGTCATTTCAAAGAGCACAATAGGAGGAAAAAAAACACTTTAAAATTCTATCTTTTTATCTAGATGCCATGCAGTGATGCTCCTCACCTCAGTTACTAAAAAAAAAATCATTCCAGTATATATTGGGGGTTTTTCAATGTTTGTCTCAGTTGTGGTGCCGGAAACAAGAACTAAGATTCACAACTAAAATCCAGTTCATATTAAACTCCTGTTGTCAGATTAATATGGTCAAAGATCAGAAAGCAAATACAGGTCAAGTTATGACCACAATTGAGCCCAAAATTTAGGTTGCTAAGTGAAATATTTGTTAAGTGAGTTTGCTCCATTCTACGACTTTTCTTGCCAGTTGTTAACTGAATTGTTTTATTTGTTAAGTTAGTAATCCGATGATTAAGTGAATATGGCTTCCCCATTGACTTTGCTTGTCAGAAGGTTGCAAAAGCTGATCACACGACTCCGGACACTGCAACCATCATAAAAGCGAGTCAGTAGCCAAGCATCTGTATTTTGATTATGTGACCATGCGGATGCTGGTTGAAGTGTTCAGGATCCTGGGATTGTCTTTTACAACCTTCTTAGGGAGCTTCTGACAAGCAAAGTCAATGGGGAAGCCAGATTCGTTTAATGACCATGATTCACTCAACAACCATGGCAAAAGGTCATAAAATGGGGCACAACTCCGTTAACAACTATCTTGCTTTAACAGCGGAAATTTTGGGCTCAACTGTGGTCGTAAGGTGAGCATGTATTAGAGGCTTGCATGATCTTTCTCTGTTAAAAATTTGCCAGGGGTACAAAGTTGAGAAAATTACTGAAAATTACTGAAATTGCTCAGAAGGAAAATATCCTCCATGTTTAATCAAGAAGCAGCATTTTGATGGTTTTGACCACTCACCATTAGCACATATTTTTATGAAAATAACTATTCTATGTTACACTTAAATCACCCATTCTCTAAAAACTATCTAGGTGTACTAATTGAAAAAGCTTCAAAAGTGTGATACATTTTTTTAAAAAGGATAAATGCTGACTTTTTTGGGGGGGAGGGATAATTTTAAATTGTTGGAGCTAGAAATGGAGAAGAGAAGAGCTGATGCAAAACGACAATATAAAGGAACGTACCTCAGACTCAACTACTCCAAAAACGTCTCTGACATCACGGATAGGTGGCTTATTTTTCTTCCGTCGGGAGCGGGTATAAGTATCCAACCTTCGCTGCACAGCTGCGGCCTGAGTCTTGGTCAAAGTGGACAGCAGAACAATGTTGCTATTCTCTTCATGGTCCTTCATCAGGTCGGAGAGTCCTGCATCCTGCAGCCATTCGGCTTCGGCTTCCCCCTCTGAGAGGCAAGGAAGAGCGAAAAAGAAAGATCAACAAATAGCATATGACTTTATATTCAAAGGATGGATCCACACAACATTTATAAAAGCCTGAGTCTGGGTTTATAAAAAGCAACTGCTGTAGTTTCATCAAATGTTATTATTGGTTAATGGCTCATACAACCTGAAAAGACAATAATGGCTAGATTGTCAAGGTACCCTGAACTACAAACAACCCAATGCTAGTCTAAACATTCTGTGCGACTCCAGTCACAGAATAATTCAGACAAAATACAATTGTAAAAACTAAACAAATGTGTTTTTAACCAAAGATATCTTAAGCTCCTATTATTTTCCCTAAAGGGCCAATGGGCTTGCTTGTGAAATTCTCAGTCCTATTTAAATATCCATATTTCCTTGAGTGAAGTCCTCAGCAGAAATACCTTCTGGTTTACGTAGATCTCAAAATGGACATCCATGCAAAACAAATAAAGACAGGAGCAGCATGTACACGTTTCTTATATTCTATACTCAGTAGTTTTCCTTCATTTCTTTAGCTTTCTATATTGATTGATTTCTGATGTCATCTATCTCAATTAGAAAACTGATTTTTTTTAAATTGTTTCTGGATAAAGTTACTTTACAAAAATTTTCATCATATTCCTTATATATTTATCTTTGCGAAATCTTGTTTCCCCAATGCTCAGTTCAGTATTGTTCTTCCAAATCCTTTCTTTATGTATTTCTATACTTTTAATCCTAAAAAAATTCTTAGTGAGCTACTATGCGTTAAGGCTAATGAATTAATGCAATGTTTGTTCCAAACACACATTTGGATGATGTACTAGTGGGTAGATGATGTTGTCATTTCAGGTTATGAAATGTCTGCAAGTAAACAACGAAACTCAAGAGAGCACCAGGAACTCCACAATATACATTATTTTGGAAGTGCCTTGTTTACAACATTATTTTCTCTGTGCCTTTTATCTCTCTTCATAGATACACACAAAGAACTATGAAAACCTGTTTTTATTCATTTGTTTCATTTTGACACCACACATGAATAAGAAAAAAAATTCTCAGCAAGTATTTTTTTCCCAGTTCTTAGAACAGAGTTTTTTTCTGACACATTTTTATTTCATTTTTCATTACACGTAAGCAGATATTCAATATATGTAAGGAAGCAGAATCTGACATCCATTCAAAGCCAAACTCTTTTTAGGAGACTTCCCTTGCTGAGCTGAATTGTTTTCCAGCCATTTTTAGAATTGGAAGAAAATGTGACATTTGCTATCTCTGCACTTGACCTCTGTCTTATCTCTTGCCTCTGTACTGCCAATTCTGACTTCTTTCCAAGATAATGAGTTATGAAGCCTAATAGATGTTTCCTCCCTTGGATGCTATCATAAAAAAGAAAGACTTATAGACTAAGAACAAGATAAAGAAGACATCATGGGGACATGGAATTCCCCGTCCCCCAAAAAACCAAAAGCATATTTGTACAGCAATAGCACTTAGATTTATATACCGTTTCATAGTGCTTTTACAGCCCTTTCTCTAAGTAGTTCAGAGACTCAGTATACTGCCCCCAACAATCTGGGTCCTCATTTACCGACCTCTGAAGGATGGAAGGCTGAGTTAACCTTGAGTCAATAAGAATCAAACTAATCACAGTCGACAGAATTAGCCTGCAATACTGCATTCTAACCACTGCGGCATCATAGCTCCAGTATCGGGCTTAGGTGAAAGTTACCTTCAATCTTAATGAATCACAAACTGTGACCAAACAAGAATTAGAAACTATACATTGTAGTTGGCGGACCACACCAATCCTGTCCTGGAAGAGTTTGCAGAACCAGCATAACTCTACAAAAAATCTAGGCTTAGCCTAGTATGAATTAAAAAGTATAATGTCCCATAGTTGGGAATCAGTGACATCTGTAAATATGAATGAAGCTCTTCTACATACACAAACACAGTTCTGATTTTTTTTCTTGTAGCTTTACAGAAAGTGTTCTTCATTTCTAAGAATAGTAGCATTGCTTGAGCGCATTCATCTCTTTCACTTCTTCCCATTAGGTACAATTACTTAGAAGCCAGGAAAATGTAAGCATATTTCAAAGAAATGCGCACATCATACTACTTTCCAAACACAGAGACAGTTTTTCTTTTGTGAAAGTTCTCACATCAACAATGAGGAACTCTATCAGGTTTTTTATCTGCCTAGCAGAAAACAGCAGAAATAACATCAATCCATCTGTCTAAATTTCCCTGAAATATCTAATCTGAGGTTTAGTTCACAGACTTCATAGACTTTGCCTTAGGAATATGTTCAGCTTAACAGTTGTATATGCATAATCAGTTAATTCTTTTCTCCCAGTATTGCCTATGAAATTTAGAGCAAGGAACATTCCTAGACTTCCAGGGAAGAAATGTCAAACTGAAGATGGCTCAGCATTTGGAGGAGCGAACAACTGTGGCAAAGATAAGAAGCCTGCAAATACATTGGGTCCATTGACCCTCTCTGGAGAGAAGAAATAAAATTGCCCACATTGCACTCAATATGTTTGCTCCTCACAAGAAAATTGCAATGCAGCTTTGGGGAAAATCAGGAGCTGAGGGAATTTACCATTCTTGCTCTAGTTCCAGTTGGACCTCTTAAAGAACCCTAAAATTGCCCTTCCTTCCTAATCTGGCTTTGGAAACCACCTTTTAATTGTTTTAAAGAAATCTGACACCTTCAAATGACGAGGCTGAGTGTATTCAATCTTTAGCGTAAGAAAATGAAACTGTATCTTTAGAAGTTTACAAATTCAAAATAAACAGCAAAAAGGAAAACAAGGTTTTGACTATATAACGTTTTAAATAAAGGACTCAAAAAAAGTTGTATTTAATTTTGAATATTAGGATGCTGACATTAATTTTAAAGAATAAATGCATTTTTGTGGAATTTTTTTTTTTGATATTGGAGATAAAACAAATTAAGCAACTTATACTGCTATTCAGAGTTATCACTGAGGAATTGCAAGCTATACTGTGCATGTTTTCATGAACACACTCTCCCAGAAGTTATTGTGGCAGGAAAAAAAAAAACGTATCTGAAATTATTATGAAAAGCAATGTGAACAAGAACTTATGACTGGAAACAACGAACGAATCTCTAAAAATTAAAAGACAATGCTCACCATGAGAATAAAGATTTATATGATCTGAAGAAAAAACAGAGTAATTGCAATATTTTTTTCTTGCTGCACTTACAAAATACGTTTTTAAAAGTTTTTAAAACATTTGAATCAAGGGATAATGGATAAAAGACTGTTTTATGTAAAAAGAAGAAATATTGATCAGGTTTTAAATAGGTTAGTTGTAAATTTGGGGGCTCTTTCTAGACTTGCTGATATCTGACTGAAAAAGACATTGTATACTGAATTTGCTTCTAGTTAAGAGTTAAGATGGAATATTGAGTTTTTATTTTGTTTTATATTAGTTAATAAACTTGTTTATTTTGTTTATTTCAGAACTCTGTTTAGACTTTTTGTTGATACCTTATTTATTAGATTTGTTATTTATTAGATTTGTCTAAAATTAAGAGTTGAATTATGGGGTGAAGAGTTATGTATTTGTTAACTAAGAGGAGGTAAAGAGATAGTTGAACAGTTTATACTTTAATAAACTTGTGGGAACTTTCTTTCTGAAACTTTTATTTTTCAACACTGCTGTAGAAAGTCAAAATGTGAATTTAGAAACAATTGCACCTGGGGGAGTTGGTTCTTGTTTCAAGTCCAAGTAAGGATGAAGACAATCAAACCTTTACATATAATTAAAAATAAACAGAAATGTGTGCCAAAAACTCTGATCCTGGTAAGAGGGAAAGAAAGTTTGAACTATTTGCTCCCAACTTTGTTCAAATCTCCAGACCCTGATTCTCTCCTTGGGAGACAAGTTTTCATAATAGAAACTTTCAACCCAGGGCAATAACAAGCATGGAGAAGTTTCATCCAGTCACAAACTTTAGTGAGGACAGAACTATGTTGAGGTCAAAGAAGTGGAACTCTTTTGCTACTCTCTGTTCCACAATAATAAACGTGTCTAAACTTCTTCCCCTAAAAAGTTTTTTTTAATTATGCAAAATGTATTAGCATTTAGAATAATCAGGAAGATTAGACTACTGAATTCAATCCCTTGCTTGAGGAAAGTATTTAAGTTGAAACATCCCCCCAAAAATTCTCTTCAGCTTCTACTTCAATACAAATTTTTAAAAAAAGGAATACCACCATCTCCCTAGATAATTCATTTGTTTTGGCTGCAATTCTCTTTGTCTCACATTTCACAATAGGTTTTATCTCAAGAATGAAACAAAGATTACTTGAAAAAGCTTACCATTTGCCTGCCACAACTGCTGTGCCCAGTAAGCTACTGTTTGTAAAACATATTTTCAAGTCGATCTCTAGTAAGCTACAGCCACTTTCTTACCTTCTAGAAGCTTGGCTTCTGAAAGGCTGCCCCCATCAGACTCAGTTTCAGTGCTTTCTTTGATGCTCTCTACTTCAAGCCAAAAGGTATCCATTGCTAGATTATTTGATGAGTCTGTCTGGGACAGCCTGTATTCCAACTGTGGAATCTCTGGGGAGCTCTTCTGGGAAAAGTGATTCATCTTGCAAGGGCAATTTCTAGTGCTAAGAGAGAAGGGGAGAGAAAACACCCAATTATTATACAAATAAATATTGCGTATAATATTAGCGCTTACTGAGTCAGTAGGCTGACAGTCAACAACTTCCAGAAAAGATAAGGTTCTTCAACATCCTTATCTTTCTCATTTAACTGCAACAGTAATGTAGACTATTCCGTCTATGATTGGAACCTTGATGAAGCAAAGTGTTTGTGGGGATAAATGAAATCTTGGGCTATGTCGTCGGACATGTATATGTCCAGAAGCATCTCCCAAGGCAAACAGGCCATGATGGATACTCCAAACTAACACTGATCACATCTGCCAACCCTCATTGGACCAGCATGGCAGATTATGGTCTATTCCTTCCACATGCCAATATATCTGTATTGATTGGAAACACGTGGAACATGTGGTGTACAAACTTAGAAGAATTTTTTTTGCTATCCTAAAAACATTGAAAAGCACTCATTGTTATGCAAGCTGTAATCCTAGGAGGACATGAAGTTAGAAAAATTATTTCTGGAGCAAACAGCAGAATTCAGGAAAAGCCCTCTGAATAAAGCTGAACTGATAATTCTCAGGTCTCTTATGCAGTGATTTTCTCAGCCCTACAATCCAGAATAAGAGATGCATGAACAAAGCATACCTGTGTAACAAATCACAATGCTGGGATGGGAAAGCAGTACATTGAAATAAATTCACAGGAAAGTTAAAATATATAAAAAGGGCAGATCATTGGCTAGCCTCCAGTTAGTCTCTCAAGGTCTTATAATTACTTGGCAGGGAGATGACAGATGAAAGGGGTTTGTTTTAAAAAAAATTAAATATGCATATGGGGTGTGGGGGAGGGGGAATAACATAATTGGAAACTGAGTCTCTTTCATTTGCTTCCAAGTCTTTGCCTGAAGCATTGTCATTTGAATAATGGATTATAGTAAGTAATCACTTAAAACCTATGAGGGCCAGATCAACTGATATTAGGTCTCCCCAGCAGTGCAAGAATGTTGTGTGGCTAAGTAAATTAAGCAGCTGGAAAAGCAGCCAATTTTGATTTACAGAATACTATTCTGGGAAGGGAGAACCTCCCAAATCAACATTATAATTACCATTCTGCTGCCATTCCAAAGAGGAACTGTAGAAGAGAAATTCAACTTACATTATTTACACAATGCTGTATGGCTCCCACCATCTAGAACAGCGGTCGCCAACTGGTGGGCCGTGAGAAAATTTTGGTGGGCTGCAGAGAAATCTCACTCTCAGAGCACCCCCCCCCCAAGCAATTAATCTAGGCAGCGCAGAAACACAGGGCTGTGCTGCCCACATGGCCTGCAGGAACCCTCCCCGCCCACTCACTCCTTACCTGGTAAACCTGCCTGCTAAATTTCTATTTTTCCTTTTTCCGACCATCATCTGTTCTGCTGTGCTGGGAGATTTAGATTAGCTAGGAAGCAGGAAATGGTTGGATTTCTTGCTTTCTATATAGTCTTTAGGTCTTTGGCTCTACTTGAACCTTAGGACTGAAGGTTTGCTTGCAAGCAAATTCAGTGCAGACTCACGGCAAGCAAATTTGAGAGACTGAGCTAGCCGATGGCAGATAGAGAGATCACTGAATGATTCTGTGAGCAACTCATTCTGCCTGCTTTGCCTGCTTTTGGGTAAAAGTTGCTCTTTTTTAATAAGAAATCCAATATTTACATACATGGTGTGTTGTGAGTTAATTTTGTGAGTTTGCTTGCAAGCAAATTTTATGTGACAGACTGAGCTAGCCAATGGCAGATAGATAGATTTCTGAATGAATCTGTGATTCTGTGAGCAACTCAATCTGCCTGCCTGCTTTGGGGTAAAAGTTGCTCTTTTTAATAAAAAAAATTCAATATTTATATAAATATTTATAATATTTACATATAAGCCAGGCCCAGCCAGTCACATGACCACCAAGCCACACCCACAAATTAGACCACACCCACAGAACCAGTTAGTGGTTCCTGGGTTCTAAAATTATGAGATTGGTGGTCCCTGATGTCCAAAAGGTTGGCAACCCCTGATCTAGAACCTGTAGCTATTTGATCTGAAAACAACTTCCTCTAATTATTTCCAGTAGTTTTCAAAAAGGCTAGATGTCTGATGTACAAGTTATCTACCTATAAATACCTTTATTTAGAAACAACTTATGTTCAACCCCAAACTGATCATTTTTGATAACTATGCAAAAGATAACATGCTGGTTCCAGTTATGAGAGTGACCTAGATTTTCATCATAACTTCATGCTTTAAATTTATCCACAAGCCAGTATCAATGCTTTTGCCATCTTATGTCCACCACCCAACTGCTTGTACCCCAAATAAAGTGCAATAGAAAGCAATATATAGATGGTGTTTATGGAGATTCTCAGTCATCCAGGTCATGGTTGTCCCAAAGGTGCTTTTTCAAGAGACAACTGGACTTTCTGGTTTTTCTTTGAAGACATTTCGCTTCTGATCCAAGAACTGAAACATTGGCTGAAGAAGCTTCTTGGTTGAGAAGCAAAACGTCTTCAAAGAAAAAGTCCAGTTGCCTCTTGATAAAGCACCTTTGGGACAACCATGACCTGGATGACTGAGAATCTCCATAGACATTTGGCAATACACTTTGGGATGAACACCCTTTGAATAGTGCAGGAGTAGGAACCGATTTCCAGGAAAATGGCAGATTACTACCATTAAAACCATTTGCATTTCAGTTTGAGATATTCATCCTCTGTGCCTCTGATCATCAAGGAAGGGACACAGGGAAGAAAACATCCTGCAGAAAGCACAGCTCCAACTTCTCAATGAAAAAACAAGACAGATACATAGACAATGTTTGCATGGTAATCTAAACACTGCATGGATTACTTAACAAAACATCAAGAATGACAATTACAGAACAGTTTCAGATGATTACTCTGATATTTCTAATCTTATTTTTCAGCGAAAATGGCTCCCAGAGATTAGTTTACATGCAGATGGGTTTTTTTATAAATAAATTTTTATTGTGTTTTTCCACAAATACAAATCTCATTCATATTTTTAACATTGCATGGCATCAACAACTATATATGTCATATAACTCTTATTATATACATTTTTCTTTACCTACATCAACACATATCTATTGTATCTTATCTATATTTGTTTCTATCTTATATATATTATAATCTATATGTCTATCATATTACTCTCTTAAGGCCTCTGAAATTAGTTACATTACTCTAATCTTACTTTTTATATCTATTCTCTAACCATTCATACCATTTATGCTATATTGCATAATATTTGGAGTTCTCTACAGATGTTTTTTAAAGACATTCCTGTCACACAGAGAGAGGGGGGAGGGAGGGAGAGAGAGAGGGGGGGGGAGGAACAGGGTGAAAGAGGGATGTGGAGGCAGGCTAAAATACCAAAGGTTAAACTAAGCAATACTACAGTATAAGTCCTTACATGAGTATGAATAGGAGGAAGCCAAATCGGAGTCAAACTTTCAGCAAAGCATATTCCTACCACATTTCACTTCTTGGGTCCTGAGAAATGGATGGGATATTTAAACAACCTGCCCCTATAATTGCAGATTCTGTGAAGTTAAAACAGAGGTGTGAAACTGGGGGCCCACAGGCCGGATGAGTCACACGCAGGCCACGCCCACCCCAGCTCCACGAAGGGAAAAAATGTTGTGAAACATCACATGACGATAATGTGACACCATGAGTTTGACACCCGTGAGTTAGAATAAAGCAAGACAGAGGATAGCACAGCAATCTGAAATTGGGAAGAGGTCCCCTGATTCAGAGGCTGGGATCAAATGCTTGGCATGATTTAATTCTAATAGCATTTTGTGTTCCGTCAGCTTTTATAGTAGAACAACCACATCCCAAGAAAATGGGATAATCATTAAACAGCATGAATCCCTTTAAATGACATCAAATGGTGCTTGGCTTTTAAAGCCCAGATATGTTAGTCCTATTTTATTGTTTACAAATACGGGTTAGCATCCATAGGCTAGTAAAAATCTCTACAGCTGCTGAGAAAGGGATTTTTTTACTAAGGTGGCTAAACCTCCATGTAATTTCTACTTTATTCAAAAGTGAATGATTCAAAAAGGCTGAATTGCTATCGGAAATAATGCAATTTATCAGTACAAACCCTTAACATCTTGTTCTATGGTGCCTGCAGAGCTAAAGACCTCTCGGTGATATTTTACAGACTACAAACTCTTTCCCTGCTTTTTCCCCTGGCTCATGGGAACTAAACAGAGTTCCAACAAATGCAGACCTTTTCATTCACCAGCAGGTTCTCACTTCCATGCTTTCATAATTATGAAACTCTATGTTCTTGTTTTAAAAATTTCTCAATCTGCTATTCTCAATACCATCTAAATACTTTATGAATTACACTTTGACATGAGGCTTGGTAAAATTAGAATCCAGCATTGACCCAGTATGGAGTGACAGGTCTGTAATTAGAGCTGACTTCATGAAGAAACATTTATCATGTCCATTATGATGATAAAACGTTCTCCTCTCCACTCCACTCCCTGAGTCAGCAGAATACTATCAGAGGAAAATCTCTATTTTACAATATTTTGCTTTATCGCAGAATGGTGGCCTCTGCTTCCAGATTAGCGGGGTGTGTTTAGTTAAGAGATTACTTAAACCCTGGCTTTACTGCTTTCCCACTTACGAGCCAGTGGAAAACCACCCACCCACCAACCATAGCTGTGATGCAAGGACAGTGTTTGGGAAGGGTGCAGATTTTACAGGTGGCTCAAACCACATTCTCCTGTTTTACTATTCATGGGAAAAGAAAAAGTATACCACCTCCACACGCTTGCTGAGGAATTGTCCAGTGAATTCGAGGAGATGTAAAATTTGGACAGGCAATCCAGTCCAATCCAATGACAATAGAAACAGCTACTGAGTAGCTTTCAGAAAGTAGCAACTTTTGAAAGATGGCTAGGCCTGCAGTCTCCAAAGAGCAAATATTTAACCTTTTTCAAAATGCTGCACCTCATTTTTTGGGTGGGACAGCAAGAACAATAATGGTGAAAGTGTGCGGAGGGGATGGGGCACACCTACAACAGCCTAAAATACTCCTATGGTGCCTGATACTTCTCCCCACTCTCCCACCAGGGTCCCCTGACTGAGTGATTGACAAAAGGGATTGGAAGCATTTCAAAACTGCTTATAGTTGATGTCTTCTTAAGAGAAAAACACTTCAATTCCTGTTCAGCTAAGAACAGGGGCCATCTTTGAAGGTGAAAGCAACACCAAAGGGACATACCAGAATAAAGATATTGTCAGGGGAATACATGCCATAAAGTCATGCCTTCACTTACAACCATTCATTGTCAGAATTTACAATGACACTGAAAAAAAGGGAGTTATGACCGTTTTTCACCTTTACAACTGTTGCAAGCACCCCCTTGATCACGTGACTGAAATTCAGATGCTTGGCAACTGGCATGCATTTGTGACAGCTGCACTATCCTGGGATCACGTGATCACTAACTGTAACCTTCCCAACCAGCTTCCAACGAGCAAAGCCAACAGGAGAAGCCAGATTTGTTTAATGATTGAATGTTTCATGTTAACAGCTGCACTGGTTCACTTCAGAACTGTGGCATGAAAAGTCATAAAATGGAGTAAAACTCACTTAAATGGTCTTGCCTAGCCACAGAATGTTTGGCCTCAATTGTGGTTGTAAGTCAAAGACTAACTCGTTAGATTCAAGTTGGGAAAGGACCTTAGTTTATGCTGAGATGAGGATTAAAAACAAAGGAGAATCCTATTCTCTAGGTTTAAATTCCAATAGGTAGAGGTGAACAAAGCAGAGCTCTTAACTCACTGATGTCAATTCAGTGGTGACCTGAATATAAATTACAGAATGATCCAAATCAATTAGGCAATAAATGGGGAAGTGAAACAATGTCACCAGGCAGCTCTTAACACCCCCAGCTGCATTTTCGCCTGGGTACACAGAGGTAATGCTACAAACCCAAGCCTCATTCAATTTCTGAACTTCTAATTGTTATATGTCAGTCAACTATGAAGCATAAGCTGACCAAATTTATCAACAGGAACAAGGAAAGCACAAGGTTGCCATTTCTAAAGATTGTTAATCCGCATCTTGACAAAGTTTTAGAATTCTATCCTAAAGAGCTACTTTATTCTTAAAATTCTATTCTGAAGATGAAGTTTTAAAGAGTCTGGCTCTTAGGGCCGAAATATGTTGACACATCAGTGTTGAAGTAGAATCTTGGTGGTTCTTTTAAGCTCCCCTCTCTCAAAATCCCTCTTAAGTGTTACTCCCCTTCACATACAGGGGAGATCCATAAAGCAGTTTGGTTTAAACTTAGACTGTTGTGTAAATCAAGTCAACTGCAGTTTGTTCAGAAAAACATGATTAAACATCTTAAGAAGTCCTGCTTTGGATATCTTCTACACTAGGGTTGTCCAGTAGTTTTTCAGGAGAATGCTCCCTCCCTCCTGTGAAGCATACAACATTTGTCTTCTTTGCAGCATCTCGCAAATAAGCTTTTATTCTCTTGTGTCTTTGGATATATTATACATCATTTTAGTTCAGTAGTAAAAGGTGTTGTGAACAGTAGAGGAATAAAATGTGGACCAATCCCACCAGAACAAAAGCCAAGAAAAATGTACTAAAGCCAAGAAAAATGTACTGAACAATTACTGTAAGTTGCAAGCTTAAGAAATGGAAATTCAAAACATACCTAAAAAATCTTTGCAATCTTTCTTCCCCCTTCCCAGAAACCCACCAAGAAATGAGGTAGTTTGGCACACAAAAGCAATCTGCAATTCAGTGACATATCAACCATCAGAACCTTAGTTGAAATAACATTTAGAGATGGATTAACTTCAGGGCCAAATACATAGAGAGACAGGGCAATGTTTAAGTTTTGTCTTTAAACAAAACTGCAAAAGACTGACAATGGCTGAAAATGCATGATTAGTTTCTGCATAAAGTTTGGTCATCTTGTGGAATGTCACCAAGTCAGTTTCTGAGCTTAGAGAAATCACAGCACAGCTGGCACTTAGCCTGAAGAATAAAAAACCAAATAAATGTTGCAAAAGAACCTAGATCAATAAGCATCTCCTTCTGACTGTTTTTTGAAAGAATGACACCAAAATTATAGAGATCAAACTGATGACATCTCAATCACAATCCAATTTACCTGTTGTGGTTACTATAACACTAATTGAACAAGTGATCACTTGAATGAGTAATTGAAGTGTCGGTATATTTTCCATGACATTTTGTGAGTGTGAAGTAGTCACAGCCTCTACTTATCATGCCTACAAATATGTAACAGAGGATTCATATCCTAAAGACAATTTGTAGACTTAATAAAAAGACTGCAAGAACATCTTAAAACAGGCAGATTTATGTGCATTTCTTTCAAAATTAATACTGACAAAGTTAGAGCACCATTTTTCTATTTGCACAAAAAGAATATAAGACCCCCAACAGTAAGAGAGACTTTGCAGTATTAATTATAGAACAAATACTGTTATAAATAAGGTATAAACCTAGAAAAGAAACTGTATGGCAATTAATGTTCCCTAAACAATGCACAACTCTATTTGAGGGAAGCTAAGGAAAAAAAATCATCTGTGTTAGATTATATGGCATATAAACAGTTGATCCAACACTATAATAATGTAAGGTCAGCACCAAAAAAACCATTAACACCATTATACTAAAACATTATACTAAGACACAAATATTTAGAGCTATTCAATACACATATTGCAGCAAGAACCAACTAACAAACTGATCACATGCCACTCATACACAGGAGTACAATACTGACACATATAATTTCTCTACTCAGTTGTAGTATTAAATGAAGATGTTCTTGGAATTACAGCTTTGATAAGCTATTTTGCATGTTAAAAATTACTTCTATCTTCTAAATCCACACACAATTTGCTACTTATCCCCAATCCCATCGCCATCTGGAGTTAATTAATGCTGGCTAATAAGCTTCCAACATTGCTAGTAAATGCTAGCAAATGGCCAGAAAGCTTACTACCATTTTTAATTTGCTGTTTTGTCATTTTACCTGAATTTCAGCTTTTTATACTACTGCTCCTTCCACCTCATGCCACATCTGTGTGCTGGTGTAAACTCAAGAGGAAGTAACACTAGTTAACGCAAACCGCACCTGCAAACTTCTGTGTGTCCAGAAGACAGGACTGGCTGTAAGATGATTTGGGGTCTAGGAAATCGAGTTCTAACAAATCCATATCTGCCTTGTTTTCCAAATTTATCCATTTTCTTCATTGATAGCCCAGATAATTTGCTGCCACCAAGAAAGACGCCTATGAATTCATCTGTGTCCTCAAAGTATTCAGGAAAAGAAGAACCTACACTGAGAAGTTTGGATTGTTCAGCAAGAGACAGCCCTGAACACAACGCACCTCCCACTCATTCTTCAGGAATGCTGCTAATTGGGTACTAGATCCTCCTCCTTTGCTCTTACCCTGATATACACCCAGTGAGAACAGAGAGATAAAATCTAGCCAACATACCCATGACTTCCAAGTATGCAGGCAGGCACTCATTCAAGAATTGTCGTCAACTGTCTTGTGCTTGAAATGCAAAAGATACCTGTCTTGTACGTGAAACTAAGGGTGGAAAGATGGGACTTGTTCTGGTGCCAGGCCAGGCAGTTTGGATCCAGAGTGTCTGCCTGCTCCACGCTTATCTCCCATCAGCTGATTAGACATAAAACCAGAAATACCTGCCCAACCCAGACTGCAGTTGGAATAATGATTGTACAATGCCCTGGCAAAAGTTGGCAGACAGTTAAGTTTTGGTCTTTACGTGGAAGGGAAGGCTAAAAATAATTTTATTTTTTAACAAGCCAAGCTATATTTCTAGGGCTCACTGCCATGGCAGATCTCTAAAACCCAGGCTGCAGAGATTTAAAAAAAAAAGGTATGGTTGGCATCTACACCAAAGTTACAGCTGAACTGGGCAGCACACTAACACTACGACAAATCATAACATTTCTGGTTTGTCTTAGAAATAGCATTTCTGAATGCTACTCCTTATGTAGAACGAAACTTCCTGAAACAGAAACTAGTACAGGTAGTCCTCAACTTAGGACCACAATTGAGGCCAAAATTTTTGTTGTTAAGTGAGAATTTGTTAAATGAGTTTTGTCCCATTTTACAACATTTCTTGCCATCATTGCCACTGCGATGGATAAATTAGCAATCCAGTTATGAAGTGAATCTGGCTTCCCCATTGATTCACTTGTCAGAAGGCTGCAAAATGTACCTTGGGGGCAAAGGAACAGTCATAAAAATGAACCAATTGCCAAGCATCTGAATTTTGATCACATGTTCATAGGGATGCTGCCAAGGTCGTAACTGTGAAAAATGGTCATAAATCACATTTTTCAATGGCGTTATAACTTTGAACGGTCACTAAATGAATTGTTGTAAGTCAAGGACTACTTGTCAATCAGACCAAAAGGCTTGCAGTCATTTTAAAGATTACTTGCAAAGTTTCTCCATTCAGTCAGCTGGACTGCTCTACCTTAGACTAACTGCAGAGAAATATCAATCCTGATTTCTGGCGGTAGAAAGGGCAATGATTCTAGTGATGACAAAGAATTTCCAGAGAAATAATTGATGGAAGTTAATCCTGGGAAACAATGTATAGAGAATTGAATATAACACAAGTTGCATTTTAAATCCTCAACAAATTCTTATAAGAACATTGGAGAAACTACCCGAACCAATATTCTGTTACTCAGATATGATGGTTAGGTTATTTATGTATTAGAGGTGGTGCATTCTTATTACAACAGACAGCTGCCAATTTAGAGCAATATGAGCTAAAGGAAGATAAAAAAGACACATGATAGTAAAGTTTCAGTTATTTAATATGAAACATCTATTTTTCCTAACCTGGACATTCTTAAGATATGTGAGTTTCCCCATCTACTGCTGAGAAGCAAAACTTCTTCAAAGAAAAATCAGAAAGTCCAGTTGCCTCTTGAAAAAGCACCTTGTCCATTTTCACTTCTACAAATCTTTCAAATGCAGTCCAGTCTCTCTCTCTGTATGTATATACATTTACATTTTCTCTATCTACTGCAGGATGAAGGCCTCTTCCACATGTTTCCAATCAATATGGTTCTGAGGTCTTTGGGGTTTTTTGCCAATTGGGTCCGCAATATTTGCTGCTGTTGTTGATCCATCTTGTTTTAGGTCTCTTTTGTAGACACTTTTTATCAAGTGGGATCAATTATATGGCTGCCTTAGTCCACCTGATATAGACCAGTCAATTTCCATTTCCATTCTTTTATTGTCGATGACAGTGTATACTTTCATTTGTTCTCTAATCCATATGCAGGTCTGTCTGTCTATATCTATACCATAGATAGATAGATAGATAGATAGGTAGGTAGGTAGGTAGGTAGATAGATAGATAGATAGTAAGTATATGCAGTAACTGCTCTGTGGAATAGGTACGTGCATTGACGTCAGTGAAAAGCAATGTACTATGGGAAATACACAATTTTGGCTTGTAATAGCCCATTAATACATGCAACTTATGACTGCTGAAACTGGCGAGCATACATAGAAACCCATCAATTGTTTAATTATCATTTGGTTAAAAACAGTTCTAATTACTTTAAACCAATCCAAATCCTGAGGCTATCTGGAATTCTACCAAATTCAGACTTTACCAGGAGATGCGTGCAAATGGAGGACAATATTGTTCTCATAAATTGGCACCCATTCATCTAATATTCTTGGAATATTGGAAATTACCTGAAAATCTCTTGCACAAGGACATGGCACCTTTGGCATATGGCCATAGTTTTCAATGCAGGATCTAACATTAAATATGAGATACAAACTTTAACACTAACATACATAGGAAAATAACTGCAAACTAAACAAAATGCTACACACCTGGGAATTCCTACTAGAATTTAAGAAAGGGATTTTTCAAAATACCATCTCTCTTACTTTTGAATGGCTCAATCTCTATCCTGCTCCTTACCTTTGTCTTCTCCTTCCCCATAAACTGAGTGTCAAACTTGTTTTTTATTTATTTATTTTATTTATTTTGATTTGTCAATCCCTTACAGGATAATAGGTAAAAGTATAAACATAGTTATGAATACATGAAATGGGTACATATAAGAAAAATACAAGAAACAATAGGACAGGGACGGTAGGCACGTTGGTGCGCTTATGCACGCCCCCTACAGACCTCTTAGGAAAGGGGTGAGGTCAATTGTAGACAGTCTAAGGTTAAAGTTTTTGGGGTTTGGGGAAGAAACCACAGAGTCAGGTAGAGTATTGCAGACATTGACAACTCTGTTGTTGAAGTTGTATTTCCTGCAATCAAGTTTGGTGCGGTTAACCTTGAATTTGTATCTTTTTCTTGATTCGCCCCCCCAACCCATCGCCCAAAATTAGCACACAACCAAGTGATGCACACTGCTTTGGATATGAAGCCAAAAGCTGCCTGTTGACACCTTTTAATGCAATTGTTTCTTAGATGCAGATAGCAGCTGTGTAACCTCAGAAAATTTGCACATTTGAGTTAAAGCTGGTGAGAAGGCATTATGTTGCACCCTATTGGCATTTCCTTAACTCAACTGTATACAGAGTGCAACTGAAATTCAGCAGATAACAGAATAAGAAGCGGAAAGGAACTCTGGAGGTCATCTAGTCCAACCACCTGCTCAAACAGAAGATTCTATATCATTCCAGACAAGTGGCTGTCCAGTCTCTTCTTAAAAGCCTCCATGGATCAATCAGCATAAAGTAAATCACATTTAAAAATACACCCTGAAGTATCTACGACACCTCTCCAAGTTATACATTATATGCTCCTCAATAGAAAAGTAAATTATGGGACAGCTAATACTATCAAATGGATTTAGAAATGACTAGAGAGAAGGCAGAACATTAATAGTTACACTTCAACTTAAATCTATTTGTACAAACCATCTGGAACCCTAACCCTTCAGTATGAATAAGAACAAGGAAGTATAATCAATTTTGTGATCCATGTCTGAGATCATACAGGAAAAAAATAAGAGCCTTGACAGAATGCAAGTTTAACTAACGCAATTCTTCCTAACAAAAACAAATTCAGAGAATTTTTTTCTATTTAGAAATATCTGCTGTTATACTTTTTCAATTTGGTAAATAACTCTTAATCCAATGTGGTAAATAATTATTTTTTTCTGAAGTAAAGTCCTAAATCAGGGGTGTCAAACTTGTGATGACACGTTATGTGACGTATTGCAACTTTTCCCCTTTGCAAAACCAGGGCTGGGTGTGGCCATCACGTGATGCATCTGCCCGGCAGGACACGAGTTTGACAGCCCTGCCCTAATTAGTTGATCTTCTTTGTAGCAATATGTTTATTTTTATTCTAGCATTGTTTTTCTTCCCCTGTTGAATTGCATGATAGCATTTAAGGTTTTGCTTTATTAATCCAATAGCCTGACAAAAACCCATATTGTTATATATGCTTCATTAACAATATGAAAGAATCCATAGGTGGAATGACTGTGATTACAACATCATGAGGGAATAGTGCATTCAGCAGTGTTCTGTACCAACTCCATGATTCTGTGAAAAGTAAACAGAACCAATGTGTACTGGAACAATGAATCCGCAATGTCAAAGTGAAAACTTTCACAAGAAAATCAAAGCAACCTATGATCCTCACACATCATTGTTCAGATACTGAAAAAGATAGCCAGTAGGTGACAACCTCCAATCTGTGCCTTGCATATTGGTTGCTCATAGACTGACAAGAACATGGGTCAGCACATGGAATCTCCTCTGGTGCGCATCTTTCAGGTAAAGTGAGTCATACTCATCCTAGTATGACTTGTTCCAGTGATTACTATCTGTTTGCAATGAGGGAATAATGCACTTCTTGACTGGACCACATCTGATATTGGCATCCAAAGTCTATATGAGCATTGCAGATATAATTAGAGAAAAATATGGGCACATGATCTGCTGCTGCTTTCTAGGATAGGTATCCCAACTTTTAAATAATAGCAATTGTTTAGTGGGGCTTTTTGTACATTCTTTACAAAAAGAACAAAGAAATGAACAGAATTCTAGACTATTACCAATAGAAAGAGACCAATGAAGAAAGTGAGATGATGTGGAGGACAATATTTTCAAAATGCAAGATAGAGACAAGAGGCAGGTCATAGGGAATGATGTATTCATGATTTTGTGAAACAGCATCAGGCTGCTTAATTGGCAATCGTAGGAGATGTGAAAGTTTAAATAGGAATAATGTGCCAATTGATTTGAGTCTATGTGAATTTCTGCAGAGCCTGGAGATGCTTCAAGTTCTTGCAGT